ACAAGTTTACCCCTCTTGCTTGTCCAGACTGTGAGCCCAATCAAGGCATCACCAGGGCTGTAGTAGATCCTGCCCTGGGCTTTGGGTACCACCAAAATGACAAGGCAACAGGCCCACAGTTAAGTCATCCACCAAGAAGACGGAAGAGTGACCTCTGAAAAAGCAGCACGAGGCAAAGGAGGTCTCCCAGAACAAGGGAGGAAATGAGGAAAACACATGAGAACAGAGGCACCAAGGTTGCAGCGAGAGGGAGGATGCTGAAAGTGAGCACAGATCTCAGGAACAAGGACAACTACTCAAGCAAAGGCTGAAGCATATTGGAAGAGCAAACACAAGCAAAGAGAGGGTCTGTAAAAAGCCTCTTCCAGCAAAGGAATCACAAGCAATCACAGCAGCAATCTTCCTCTTGCCAATTCCATGTGCTTTACTTGATGGACCTCCTAGTCTAAGGACTTCTTGAGTTGCTTAAAACTTATTTACTTCTTCATTTATGAGGTACAACTTTGTATTTTAAATAGACACAGGAAATGTGCTGAAAATTTAAACACTCACACAAAATCTTGCCATGCTGGCAACAGAGACTTGTACGTGCACAAGCAAGTGCTGGCACACAAACAGGTGCATTCACATATATACAACAGCTTTTCGGCAAAGGACTGTCCCCCTAAGGGTCCTCAAAGTGAGAAAAGAAAGGAGGAGGGATGTACAGCACTGTCACAGACAGGCCATGCTCCTCTGCTCCAGCCTCAGAGACAACCAGCACTGATATCAAAGTCTGTTTTCCTGCAGGTCCAGTCCAGTCCCTCCCCTCATCTGTGGGAGCATCCACCCCAACAGCTGCATTGCATCTTGGGCAGCAGCCACCTCTGGGGTGTGATCCTGGGCCACCCCTGTCCTTGCACTGCCCCAGTGACAGTGCCATCAGCCACAGACAAAGGACAGTATCTGCAGAGCCCAGGATGCAACGAGGGAGTTTTAAAAGGGCGTTTCAGTTGGCATCAGAATTTACTGGAATTGTTCTGCTGAATTATTAACGTCACAGCCCTGCGCCAGACCAGAGTCTGTTTTGTTATCTTGCCTTCCCACTCCAAGTGAATTTGCCGGGTGATTTTAAGAAAAAAGCAGTGACCAATTCTCAGGCCTTCTGATTGAGACGCCAAAAGAGAAAAAACATTCCTACATTACTTCCCTCTTGTTTTTCTAAATAAAAATAATGTATAGCCCTAACTGGATAATAAATATGCTCAAAAGCTGTCCTTAAGTAAAAGCTTTTGATAACAAATTGCCTGTGCTAACCGCTATTTTACTGTTGAATTTTTTATTGTTGCTTAAGCACTGCAATTATGCTAATAAGCCTGAGAGGATGGTACACTAAAGCATTGAATGTGACAGATATAATACTCAATAAAATGTTAATCTTACCTGAAAATTGGAATCAAACAGCCTTATTAGTATTTATGGATATGGCACCTCCAACATGTTTCTCTTAAGAGGAATATATATATGCAATAGATATTTCCAAATATACCCTACTATTTCTCATGCCTCCACAGAATTTAATTCCAGGTGGTTATTACCCCTGCTGCTAATTACCAGTCCCTTTTGGAATAAGAAAAGAGAGTGTTGCCTTCTGGGACATGCAAAACTCCTGCACATTCTAGAGTTTTTCCTTTGCCACCTGGAGGATAGCAGCTGTGGGGATGGGGACAGCTGTCCCCAACTCTCAGCATGGCCACCAGGCTTATGAGGGTGTGGCATGACACAACAAAGGCTCTCCTCTGCCACCCTCTTACCTATTTTCCCCATATCCTCTCCTTTTATATTCAGTTATTTACAGGTGCTAGAGAAATGACTTCTGGATTTCAAGATGGTCCTAAAGACACATTTATTTATTTAGCTCTAAAACTTTTCAGCGGTGCTGACAGAGAACCAGACCCATCTGCTTCACCACAAGTTACAGCACTGCTGATTTGGACCAAGAGCTGCTGAGCTCTTGCAAGGGTCTGGCATGGAGATGCTCTGTGACTTTCCACAAGCTGCACTGTTTTTTGCACCTTTATTTCATCACCTAGTCCCAATCTGCAAGGAATTGCTTTCTCAACTGATGGCATAACTTTTTTCACCCCATATAGGCTTTTTCTAGGGGATTTTTGGCCAAATCCATGGGTTTCAGACCCAGCCTCAGGGCCATGAACTTCCTGTGAATAAATCCAAGTGGTCTTCAGCACCTTCACTTTCTCATCTCCAGAAGGAAGAAAAAAATGAACTCAGAAGAGCCACATGCTTCAGACAAACTATACTTACATTCATGACCAGGCTCTAAAGAGGCCATTTGTACACAATGGACTGTGTAGTTTTCAAGTGCTGCAGGTTAATGCCTAAATAGCAGCTGCTGGTTTCCAGCTTCATTCCTCATGCTGCTCTCACCCACAGGAGTCAATTCTGCTGACACGACAGCAGAAACATCAATAACCACCAGATATTTCCTGACTGCAAAGCAAGATTCTTACCACTGGATGATGCACGCTTCCATGGTGGTAAACATTAGGTTGGAGATATCTAGGAACTGTTTTCATGAACAGTCACAGCAGAGAAAACCCATACGGCTTTCCATTGAAATCTGGGATTCCCAAAGGGCTCAGAGATCACAGCAGGTAACCTACAGGACACAACTCAAAACACCACAGGACATTCATGGGCTCTCTTCAGTCACGCTTTCAATCCACACTGGCTTGCACTGAGGGCAAGGATGGAGTGCAAAGATGGAAACAGGATGGCTTTGCAGGACAGAACTTAGAGCAGCTGCACAAACCCTCATTTTCATTGTAAGGAGCACAGAATTTGAAAAAAAAAATCAGTTTCTACATCAAGGGAAGCTACCAATTGACTGAGACGGCACCTCGAAGAGCCAGAAGATGCATCCAGGACTCCTCCACCCCAAGCAAGCCCCAGCACGAGATGCCAGACACCAAAATTCAGAAGCAGACAACTGAAGCAGACAACAGCTACAAAGAGCTGCAGGACCACACAGCAGCCACTCCCATAGAGGTGGCAGGACTCATCCCTGCCATGTAAAGTGAGTCTTGTCATTATTTTCAACCCTGCAGGGAAATCTAAATTGAACTTTGGCATATTGCTTTCTTTTGCTAAGCAGCAATGCTCGAATGTTAACTCCAGTCCTGACAGGCATATTTATGGACTATTATTTGCAAATAATCTTACCCTGAGACCAGTCCGAAAGGTCAGAACCATAAAAAAGAATAACAATTTTAAAAAAGCACAAGGCTGGAAAACCATCACTACCATTGGCACAACCTCTCAACTTATTAACCGTCCTTGCAACAAGGTGAATTGCAAGGTCTCAGATTTATTTGATTGATTGAGATCAAAAGATCATGGGGAAACACAGTAAATTGCATCTTTCCACGAATGCATTTTGCTTTCAAGATTTGAGCAGATTGTTGCAGGAATTGAAAAGCTCAAGAGAAGGAAAAAATAAAAGAGAAAAAATAAAAAAAAAATGTACAAAGGTGACTTCAGAAAGGCATTCCTTATTTTCTTCTTGACACCATCTGCATTTCTTAGAGCTATTTGCAAGTTTCTTCCATGTCCCTGTACCCCTGAGACACAACAGCTTATCTCTGCTAAGCAGAGGACGATAAGGAACAATGAGACACTGGTTTAACTCCAGGCCAGACACCAGTGTTTGCTGACATTATAGATGAAATGTAAGTTTTAGAGAAACCAAAGTCCAACAAAAGGTTGAAGAACTTCCCATTGAATTCCAGATGTCCTACAAGATAAGAAGATCTCAGTGATCTTCTTCACTGGACCAAGGAAGACAAAGCACCTGAACATTCCTCTTGGCATAGGATGGCTTGGGAGGCTTCCTGAGCCCAGGCTCCATTTGTCATTAGCAACTCCCTGGGAAGGGATGAAGGAGGAAGAAGCAAGGGAACTAAAGGAGCAGATATCTTCAGGACATAATTTCAAGACCTAGCTGGTGAGCCAGCATTTTTAAAGTCAGGAAAAGCCTGCTGTGTTTGCTGTCAAGACAAGACAAAGAAACACAATGGAGAACACGAACAGAAGAGCAAGCGAAGAAAAATGAAACTCTCCTCCACTTCATCAGCCCTGGAAAAAGAGAGGAAAAGTAATCACTTGGTTCCTCTCTCTGTGTTCCACATGATATTTGTGGTTTGCTCAGTATACCTATATTTGTAGCACTGTGTTCTCATGTCACAATAAAACAGATGAGATTACACCCCTGAGAGTAAGAGTAAATCCCTTACATGGACCATGGAAGCGACCCAAACTCCCAGAAACTTACTTCAAAGGAGCCAGAATTGATACAACTTCCTGCTTTTACCACAAGTTTACACTACATGCCAACAACACAGGATTCAACCTCTTCTTTCCCCTGAGCTTATACTTCCCTCCATAATAACATTCACCATTTAGGTAACAAAGACATGGAGCACCAGCATTAATTGCTGCTGCCTCAATTTTTCACCAGACCATGCAGCTCATTCTGCACAGATACATCCAGCTTTGCCTTTCACCTTATCAGCTTTGAATAAGGTTGTTAAGATAAGAATTTCAGAAATTCTCATTTCTAATTACCTGTGGGTTAGCAGAACTCTTCAGAAGTCAGCTAGTCTATTTTTCCACCACCTGGAAGGATCAGTTCTCCTAAAAGCATATCTGCTATTGCTCTTCCAACTTGTTCTTAAACCTTTCCATGACTGAAACTGCCTAACCTCCTGGGGGGATCCACTCCAGCACTCAGCTATCCTTACTGTAGATCATTCACTGACACCTCAGCTAAATTTCCTTGCTGCAATTTAATTTTATAATTTGTTTTATTTACAGTGGAGAGATTTAGTTTATTTCATCTCTCCATGACAAGTTCACTATTTCCAAAATTTACAAGTTGAGGCAGTGCTGCTTGTCCTCTCTTTGCCCATTCTCAATCTCTGCATGTGTATGTCATTCCTTACCCCAAGAGAGAAGGCACTTGGATATCACGAGGCTGTTTCAAGGGAAGGCGATCACCTCCAAAGGCTGATGCATTCAGGCACACACAGTTACAAAGTACTCTGAAACAAGAAAAATAAAAGATTTGTCTTCAGGATGGCAGGCAGAGTCCAGTCCAGGAGTAAAGGAAAAACCAGCAAGCCTGAAGTGCAGTTTTCTGCATCCCATTATTTAGCATGCAAACAGATCTTCAAAAGCAACATCACTGACTGTAGGGACATCATGCACCACCACTCAGAGTTGGCCACATTTTCTCTGACAACCACCATAAGGGTTTGATAAATTTGTGTTCTAGGAAACAAAGTGTTCATGGACTTTGCAGAAAGCTCTGCCAAGATATAAGCAATACCCAGCCCATGTCAAAATCAGATGGCTCTTACTCCAAACCTTTAAGCTCTGTGACAGAGGACAAATTTCAATGTTACCACTAGTGACTTTATTTACAGTGTCACTGAAATCAAGACAGGCAACATTTCCAGTCTTGAGATTTAAATGTGTGTAATTATGGGATAGATCCAGAGGGTAAAAGTCAGGTCTGATGAATGTCTTTTGTATTCACAACATACTCCTTACCTCCTGATCCTCGGATATTCTACCTAGCAAAATGAAACCTCTCACAAACTCAAGTGTTTGGTGACAATGTAAAAAGGTAGAGAAAGGATCTACATGAACAGTGCTCAAAAACACAGGTGAGAGTTCTGAATGACAAAAACATCCCAAATTTCCTGAAAGACAACAGGCAACAAGGGAGAGCAGCAATGATACATTTGCCATCCTACTCCTGGAGGCTCTCAGAAAAAGAGAGTTAGATGGTAGCAGACAATTTGCAACAACAGCACCTTTCAGCAGTAGATCACCTTTTGCACCCCATCTCATCTAAATTCCTGTCTCCCATCAGAAGGAGCTGCTCCTGCCCCCAAAGGATCAAGTGGCTTTGTAACAAATACGCTGTTTCCGATGGCTGAAGCCAAAAAACCCTCAATTTGTCACCTGCTGTGAAAACAAGACGCCTGTTGCACATCTAAGGATGTGCCAATGCAAGAACTCAGTGTCTTGTCTTTTGCATGGATCATCCGCCTGACTGTACTTTTGGCTACTGCACTTTGTCCATCTCCAGGTTTCTGCTTGGGATGGTTTTTCCTTTGTAATCCTACCCAGCTGTCCTGGGCTTTTGCTTTCCTTCATCACTTGCACTCTTAGCAATGCCAACACTTACAGCCAGCCGGCCCAACTGCTGTCAGCACAGGAAGGCGACATACTCCTGTTTAGCACTGATTGGATAGCAGAAGTGCTGTTTCCAAGGCTAAAGAGGAATACCTGCAACAATAATGTCCCTAAAGCACCACAGAGTAGCGGAGGAGACTGAGCAATAAATGCCTGAAGGTGAAAAACTCAAAATAATCTCAAAATGTATGTTGGACAACTGATAGAAGACTCTAAATGCATGCCCGTCTTTAAGGGTGAAAGTAGCTCCAAGGACTTCAGCAAGATCATCAGCAACAGCAGACACGTTACCTCCCAAAATACAAGTGAGATAAGGATGTTTAGCAAGGGATAGAGATATGAGGAATGCTTCCACCAAGAAAATACACCCATTTGTACAGCTGAATTACAACAGCTGTTGAAAACCATGGAGTAGCATTGAATGGCAGCCCAGGACAGGGAGCCAAGACAACTACCACATGCAATTGAAACTGCCAAGGGATTAAGTTAGGTCAAATGTAATTACACAAACTGGATCCTGGCCAGAGTACTGGCTTATTCAAGAAAATTAAAAGAGGTGTTCAAAAGTTTCAGAGATTGAGTCCTCCTCCTGTTAATTATTTGGTGAGTCAGTCAGTGAAGTCTCAGTGCTCTGGGAGGCCATCTGAAAAAGGGGAAAAAATGAGGCATAAACTTGAAAGGCATTAGAAGCGATTAGCAAAAGCCTTTGTTCTCCATGGCAATCCTGGCTGCACCAGTGCGCGAAAGCCTTTCATGTCCATGCTGACAAGTGGCCTCAGTTCCTTTGATACTTCTGGGAGGAAGCATTTAAATTTACAAATATCCCACTGACAGAAGTTACAGACAACAGTTGAGGAACTTCTGCATAACTCAGCCAGATCATACCCAGCTCTCAGGGAGGCAGTACTCCTGCTGACGGGAGGAATGACAACAAGAAACAAAGAAGTTCACTGACACCTGGAGCAATGTCCCCTGTACATGCTAGTGCTGTATGAAAGCCAAGTCATGTCAAAAAGAAGGTCGGAGCCATGTGGGACAGTGGCTTCCTCCCCCTCACTCACTTTTCACAAGAGGGAGAGCAAGCAAGTCAGGCAATGGTAAGGAGATGAGAAAGGAAGCTTTGTGGTCTGGCAGCTGAGCGTCACTTGGAAAGATTAAATCCTGTTTATGCCTCTGCCATAAACCTTCTGAACGATAAGAGCAAAGTCACATATATCAAATTTTCCCACACATTTACTGCTGTGCCTTTTGTGGCTGAATAAAGATACAGAAGGACTATGTCCAGAGGAGACAAGAACTAGCAGGCAGGGATTGAGATTCTGTGTTCAACCTTTAATCAAGACTTGTACTATAATCATGTACAGCACTACAAAACATGAAGCATTCTGAAAAAACAGGCCTTGTAAGTCTCAGTTTTGGCACCTAAAGAAGTAGATGCCTATGCTACCTCTGTATCTGGGAGTCATCATTAGAGATACACTCATCGCTGTCTTTGAAGCAGTTGGATGCGACAGTAAAAGCAGTACAGAATTGGAGATTAACCTTTTTTCGGTAGCTTATTCAGTGCAATGTTCAGATGATGCACATGAAACAAACCATTTTTTGACTGACATGAAAAAAACCAGAGAGATGAAATAACTATCTTCTCAACAAGTGCCATACACGAGGCATGTCAAGTGACATGGCTTCATCCCACAGTGACAGCAGGTGAACACGCAACTGAAGCCTCTGCCATATTGATTTAGTGTGCTTTTTTTTTTTTTACCCCTGTAACTTTTCATAAAACAAGCCAGGGAAAGGCAGACATTTCACAGCACAGATTGGTGCAATTTGTATTAATGGCCCAAGCATGGATGCAAGCAGCAGCTTGCTTCTCTTTATGTGGAACAATCAACAGGGACAAGTCTGGTGGGACAACTGCTACCACAGCACACCTTGCCCCAGCCCAGCAACACCTCCTCCTCCAGTGGCTTCGCAACAAGCAGGGCAACAAAGAACACAGGAAAAAAATCTGTGCTGTCTTGCCATGCTGTGCAAAATCCAGGGGCAAGCAAACGTGGAAAGAGTTTGCATTCTGCACTGACCACACACAAGCTGTCATTCTTCCAAAAGTGCTCTTCAGGTAGAAAAAGCACAAATGTCCCAAATTCCTCATCTCTGGCACTCCTCTGACAAGGTAATCACTCCCTTGGAGTCCTCAGGCACCACACAGATGACAAAGACTTCTTTTGCAAATAGAAACAAAACAGCAAGGCAGTTCTTCCCGTTTTACCCCAACACCTTCCAACCAGCCTCCTCTGAAGGAAGTCCACTGCTTGCACTGGAAAGACCCACAAAAAAGGCAGCTCAGAGCCAGAGCCACGACATGGCCAGTGCCACGTGTGGGCACCACCACACATCAGGGGAAAGCACAGGGCTGATGGTACACACACTACAAAAAAATAGATTTTTTAGCACAAAGCAGGGCAGCCTGAAGGGTTTCACGCCAAAGAGGGACCTACTGCCATGCTGGCCACGGTGTGCAAGGGAACATGCCCCTGTGGCAGCAGCAGTGATTAACCAATACTGATCATGGCCTCCAGTGCCTGAAACAAAGCACGAGGAAACAGCACAGCAAGGACTAATGCCAAGTGGCAATAAAGACAGAGGCAGGGCTGTTGTTCAAACAAGACTTGGTTTTTTTGCCTAGGTTACTTGCTAGAAAAAAAAGGTTCTGCATGCAGGGACATCCTGTTCACTGTATTAAATTAAAGGGATGATTCAAGAGGGAACAGCTTTCAGCAGACAGGGGGAAAAAATCGATTTCAGGTTGCTATGGACAACTGGGCTGTCTCCTGTAAAATGGAATCGGATTCAGCTCTACAAACCTGAACACTAAACAATCCCTGAAATACAACACACACACACTCACTAAATTAATGAATACAATAAAATACAGACTCGTGCCATCTCCCAGGTTTTTTGGCTAAATCAAGGACACACTCAAATCTACTAATTGCCACTAAATACAGGACTGGAGTATGGCTCAGTGGTGGCTCTCTGACTGCAAGTCCAACACTCCCTTACAGGAGAAAAGCTCTTTAACAGCCAAATAAACCAGAGCAGTGCCCAGACTCACATAACTCTGGGCCCTTCCATGGGCTCTGGGCTTGCAGTGGGATCTAAAACCATGTGCTGCTGATCCAAGCTCCTGAAGAACTCAGCTAGAAGGGGCATCAAGGACAACCTGAGGCCTTCAAGCATGTCCTGGCTGATACTGGACAGAGGCAATTTAACCTGCTACTGGTCCTTGAATAGCCTGAATAGAAACAATGTCCTCTCCCTGAGCAGCTGACCTATGGTCACAGCTGCCAGCAGGAACCTCAGATGGAGGGACTACTGGGAACAACACAGTGGCCACGGTCCAACGGGTGTCCTCTCCTCATGTTTTGCACTGGAATAACTTCAAACAGGTTTTAAGCACTTTCTCCACTCCCTGCAGGAAGAAAAGCCTTGGTGAGAGAGACTGAAGCAGAGATGAGGCATCTGATTCTGTGCCCTTTCCCAGTAGCTGTTAAAAAAATCAAAGAAATCAATCTAGATCAATCTCTCCATGAAGGCAACAGGAAACATTCCCATCCCACGATACTGTAAGTCTTATGGAGCAGTTAATGATTTTCCAATGAAATGTACCATCAAAATATAAGATTTTATTAGCAAAATCAATGATGTGTGCAGAGACAGTCCCTCGTGTGTCTTAAAAAAAAAGTCTATGAATAAACCTGACAGGAATGAAGAACATTGTGCAATTATTACAGCTGTTTTACAGGATACTCTAATAATGACAGCCCATACTTCT